CTGTCTCTGTCTCTGTCTCTCTCATTCACACACACACTTGAAAATTTAAAAATAGTTTTTAAAAGAAATTGACACAGTCACCAAGAAAGTATGTTCTTGCTGAATTTAATTTTGTAATTAAGTAATGAAGACTATCTCTATCTTCATACTGTAATTTTAAGGCTTTTGAGTATTTGTTTTTCATTTCCTGTTCTTTGCTTTGTCTTTAATGTTGTTATTTTTCATTCATTGCAATGAAGAATCAATATTTTATTTTATCTTTTGACACTGACAACATGTACTTTCTATGTGAACTAGAAAGTAGTACCCCCTACTCATAACACAGGTTTTGTTTTGTTTTGGTCTTTTGAGTCAGGGTTTCTCATTAACTTTGGAGCCTGTCCTGGAACTCACTCTGTAGAGCAGGCTGGCCTCAAACTCACAGAGATCCTCCTGCCTCTGCCTCCCAAGTGGTAGTATTAAAGGTGTGCACCACCACCACCCAGGTCATAACACACTGTTTAACTATGTGGTTTAATCACAGCTTTGACCCTAGTCTCCTGGTAGAAATCATGGCATCCCTTTGGTGACAGACTCCTCTGGTCTTTCCCATTTTTTATGCTGTAATTGCCATTGCTTTGTAGGATTGAAATTGTTGATAGCAACAGCGGACTCTGGGGAATGGTCACCTGTTGTAGAGCTGTTTCCATGGATAGCCCTCAGGGAACCTAAAACCTGCCTAATGTTAATTGCCTTTTATTAGTCCAATTACTAAAGGTATTGTTTTAGTCCATTTGGGATGCTGTAACATAATACCTTAAACAGTGGCTTATAAACAACAAAAACTCATTTTTTTTGACAGTTCTGGAGGCTGAAAGTCTTAAGTTCAAGGCAACATAAGTTGAGGGTCCACTTCTAGAAGGTGGCACTCAGAAGAGAGTTCATATGAGGGGTTTCTAGACATTGTCTGTTTGCTGTGACCTCACTTAGAAGGAGCAAGTTCACTCTCTGGGGTCTGTCTCTTGTAATCATGGCAGCTCCTCCATGATTTCATAACTTCCAAAGGTTTCTACCTCCTGGTAACACTAGCTTGAGGGGAATGTAAGCGTTTAGTCATTGTCAGTTCAAGAAAGATTTGTTAAGTACCCGATCTATTTGTGAGATCTTGTATTCTTTTTTTTTTTTTTTTTTTTTTGATTTTTCGAGACAGGGTTTCTCCGTAGCTTTTGGTTCCTGTCCTGGAACTAGCTCTTGTAGACCAGGCTGGCCTCGAACTCACAGAGATCCACCCGCCTCTGCCTCCCGAGTGCTGGGATTAAAGGCGTGCGCCACCACCGCCCGGCTGAGATCTTGTATTCTTAACAAAAATAGATAGCCAAGAGAAAGAAAACTCAAGCCAGTACCATCTTTTTTTCAAAACATCTTCTACTTCTTTAGCTTTCCTTTTCTTCTAGTCTTACCATAGGTAAGTGGTAAACCACTTAACTAATCTCTCAAACTGGAGTTTGAAAATTTGGAATTATTTATACTTTTCTCACTCCATAATTTCTCATAGCCAAAAGTTTTTGTTCTAGTATCCTCTGTTGCTGTGCTCAAACACTGACCAGAGGCTTTGTAGGAAAGGATTTATTTGGCATCACTTCCAGGTCACAGTCTGTCATTGGTGGGACTTGGGGCCTGAACTTGAAGCAGAAACCTCAGGAATGTTGCTTGCCAGTTTACTGACAGGCTGAAGCATAACCCAGTGCACTCCAAGTGCACACAAGTAACGGTCCACACAGTTCCTTACAGACATGCTACAGGCCAGTGTGATCTAGCAGTCCCTCATCAGAGACTTCCTTCTTACATGACTAAGCCCTGTCTGGTTGACATTTGAAGCTAACTGTGATGGCCACTAAATCCAGTTTCTAAACCTTTAGAAACATCTTTTACATTTGTATTGCTAGCTGGGTATGGTGACTTAAATCTATAACCCCAGCATGTAGAGGCTGAATCATTAAGATTACTGTTAGTTCAAGGCTGTCCTAGGCCATGTAGTGAGTTCTATGAGCTCTTGTCATGAAAACAAAACACAAACTGCCCCAATTTTGCATTTTTTTTTAATGACGAGGAGAGAAACATTTGTTTAGGGTTATGGCTTCAGAAGGTAGAGTCCCTTGAGGGACTAGGAAGGCGTAGAAATGTGGTGGCCGGAGCTGGAGGCTGACTAATCACATTTTTTTTTTAAATCAGAACATGGGAACCATAAAGCAGAAATATGTATTTTTTTCTTATCAAATTGATAAGAAATTGATAGAACATTCCCAGTATAAGTTATGTCAGGGCAAACCAGTTCATTTCCCCCTTGCCCTTTCCAGCAATCACTCAACTGAACTGCTTGTTGCTGATACCTGCTCTGAGTCATCTTCAACAAATAATCTTAAAGTAAAAAATCACTTGCATGTTCAACAATTTATGTCTTTTTTATAGTCCTAATTTATTTCCTTTTTACTTAATATTATTTTTCATAAATTTTCTTTATAAAAAGATCTTTATTTTTAGTGTTTCAGCATGGATATGTAACATGTGTTATAGTTTAACCATTTCTCTATCTGTGGACATTTACATTTCTTGAATTTTTCTTTTGTTGTTAACAAAGAGCATTAAAAGGAACACACTTGAACATTTCTCTCTGTGAACATAATAAGATGTTTATAGAAGCCCCCAAAGTGGTGTTTCTGGCTCAAAGTTGATAAAGATTTACAACATTAGTATATGCCATCTACTTACTTTACCAAAACTTCTTATCGATTTATAATTGATCTTTCATGCTAGTTTCCCTAAGCCTATTACTGTTATTGTTGTTATTACATAATTATTGAGAAAGGGTTTCACTATGTAGACTAGGCTAGCTTGGAACTCAAACTCATTATCTTCCTGGCCTGCCTCATCCTTCCAAATTCTGGATTATAGGCATGGCGTGCTTTTATGGCTAGCTTTCAATCCCATTTTTAAAATTTATTTTTAATTTATGTGCATTGGTGTTTTCTTACAGATGTCAGGTACCCAGGTCTTCTGGAAGAGCAGTCAGTGCTCTTAACCACTGAGCCATCTCTCCAGCCCCCCCAAACCCATTTTTAATATTCTCCCTGCCTCACTTCTCTGCTTGATGCATCCCTTTCACCTCCACTATCCACAACTGTGTTCAGTTAAGATTGTGTGCTTGCTGTATGGTGGAACTCAGCAGTGGATAAGACAGACATGGTCCCTGATCTGTGCAGCTTCACTCTTACCATGTGGTAAGAATGTATGCTATACCTGGGTTCTTTTTATGCATTTTCAGCTGCAGTACTCTTCCTGTATGCCATTTTTTTTAAACATCCGTAGAATTTTCTTCTACCTTTTTAACTAACTTAAAATTTATCTCTCTCAAGCTGGTCATGGTGGCACATACCTTTAATCCTAGCATTCAAGGCAGAAGAAGGTGTAATAGTTAGAGGCCAGCCTGGTATATATTGTGAGTTCCAGGACAGCCAGGACTCCATAGAAAGACGCCATTTTAAAACGAATATATTAGCAAAATTATTTTCTCTTTATCATTCTTCCCTTTAGTAAAGTAGCCTTTCCTTGATGCTTTCTTAGCATACACTGGCCCCTTTCTATACATTTCCTTCTGAAGAATTTCATCATTTGTGTATGGATGCATGTAATATATATACGAAAATGTAGGGGCAAGAGAACTGATTTGATTACGAGCACTTTTTGCTCTTGCAGAGGACTCTGGTTTAGTTCCCAGTCCCCACGTGGTAATTTATTACCATCCTAATTCTAGTTCCAGGGTATCCCATGTTTTCTTCTAACTTCCTCTAGCACCAGACATGCATGTGATATACAGACATACATGCAGGCAACACATTGATACACAGAAAATAAAATTTATAATGTAAATACATCCCCCTTCACTGGGGGCAAGGTACTAGCTTAGTGCCTTAAAAATGTTAGATAGTAAGCCGGGCAGTGGTGGCGCACACCTTTAATCCCAGCACTAGGGAGGCAGAGGCAGGTGGATCTCAGTGAATTTAAGGCCAGCCTGGTCTACAAAGCAATTTTCAGGACAGCCAGAACCGTTACACAGAGAAACCCTGTCTCTAAAAACCAACCAACCAATCACACAAACAAAAACCAAAGAAACTGTTAGTGAATAACGAAGAATCCAACAAACTAAGTTTTGCAAGGCGCTATATTCTAGTAAATAGGCATAAGAACAGATCCTAAGGGGCCTAACCTTGTAGTCAGGGAGATAAGAAATGGAAGAGAAGACTGTTGCAAGGCTGGTTGTGATAAGCCTATCATAAATTAATACTTGACAGAAATTTAGAGATGATTTTTTTTTTCTTTTTCGAGACAGGATTTCTCTGTGGTTTTGGAGCCTGTCCTGGAACTAGCTCTTGTAGACCAGGCTGGTCTCGAACTCACAGAGATCCGCCTGCCTCTGCCTCCCAAGTGCTGGGATTAAAGGCGTGCGCCACCACCGCCCGGCAGAGATGAATTTTAAGAGTAAGATCTCTCCAGACTTGGTGGCTCCATTCTGTAATCCCAGTTGCTTGGGAGGTTGAGGCAAGAGGATTTAAGTTTGAGAACTGCTTTCCCTATAAAGTGAGTTCAGGACTAGCCTGGAAACTTAGTCATACCCTGTGTCAAAATTGTAAGTTAAGAAGGACTTGGGATGTCACTCAGAGAGAAGCCGTCCCAGAGTACCAGCAGTGAGATAAAGGTGATGCCTAACTCTTAAGGTGATCAAGATTAGTCCTCTTATTTTACAAAATAAGCAGCTCAAAAATTGTGTCAAAGTCCATGTGGCACTGTTAGATGGAGCAGTTGTTGTCAAAACTTTGAGGGCTGCAGAAGATAAGATTATTGCTGAGGTGCGGCCACATTGTGAGTGTCAGCTTTGCCCTTGAAAAATGGGAACTGAAGAACAGACTTTCTTTCTCTGCGTTTAGTAATGTTTCTGTGGTTTTTTTTTTCTTTTACATTTCTAGAAGGACTTTGAGCCTTACTTGGAGATTTTGGAAGCATATTCCACAAAAGCCAAGAATTATGTGAATGGGTATTGCACCAAATATGAGCCCTGGCAGCTAATTGCGTGGAGTGTCCTGTGTACCCTGCTGATAGTCTGGGTGTATGAGCTTATCTTCCAGCCAGAGAGTAAGTATACTGCCTCTTGTGTCAAGGTGGGCCGGAATGTCACTCACGGTTGATGGGTTGGAAGCATCTCTTGATTTAGTTAAATCTATTTAGATGGGAAATAGACCCTTATTTATGAATTATGAATTCTGTTAATACTTCTGGATAACTATTAACTATTTCTGGTTTTGTGAATTTTTTCATTTGTAGTTTACATAAAAATCCCTTAGCTATTAGTTACTATAAAGATTCACAAGTGTCTCAGAGTATAGCTTACACATTTTTCAGTACCAATTTCTTCCTAGAACATAGTGTGTTGTTTGAGATTCCCAGAGTGAAAATGTATTGCTTTCTTTGGAGCAGTGCTTGCAGAGCTACCGTTTGTCAGGGAGCCCTAGGAATATCTGCATGGTATCATATGGCTCTTCTTCCTTTGGAGTTGAACTTCTGTTAAGAGGGACATGGGGCTGCTGAGGATGAGCTGTCTTTCAGTGGTTGGCTTGCAAATGTCCCAACCTTCCTAAGGCAGAAGCACCTTTTCTGCATACCCATCTCTTCCCCACCTAGACCTTCAGGTGACTATGACCATAACCCTGTGAGTTACTTTCTTCCACAGGCTGTTGTGCTTGGGAGGTTGTGTGATAATATTTGTAACCAAACAGTAGATGTTGGCAGTGGGTATTTTGTAATGCTCTCTGGGTTCTCCCCACACTTACTAATATTAGAAACTAGATTGTCTTTTATCTTTTTTAAAAATGATTTTATTCTCATTATTTTTATGTGCATCAGTGTTTTGTCTGTATGTATATCAGTGTGAGGGTGTCACATCCCCTGGAACTGGAGTTAGAGACAGACAGTCAATTGGGAGCTGCCATGTGGGTGATGGGAATTGAAACTGTGTCCTTCGAAAGAGCAGTGTTCTTAACTACTGAGTCAGCTCTCCAGCCTCTCCTGTTCTTTGTCGGTTGTTTTTGTTGTTGTTGTTATTGTTGTTTTGTTTCTTTAAATCTTTTTATCAGTAGCATTGCAGTTAAAACAAAATAAATGTTGCAAAACATGAGAGCCAAGAGGCAAGTTCCCCTGCTTTAGAGCCTTTTAATTGAAGTGAAAATGAGACGTGACTGTCCTGTCTAAAATTAGAGTTCACTGTAGCTTTAAAGCATTCTTTAGTTTCTATTCCTCATCATTGCTAGATTTTCCCCTACACTGTTGATGAGACTGGCCTTTCATTTCAGCTCATGGTTTATGTGTGGCTGTAGCCTTAGTTGTCTGTTCAGGAAGTGTTTGATTCAGTGGCAAGGAGCCATTGTATTCATTTATTCAGTTATGCTTGCTATACCCTCCCTCCCTCCCTCCCTCCCTCCCTCCCTCCCTCCCTCCCTTTCTCCCTCCATCCATCCCTCCTCCTCTTCCCCCATCTTATCTATCTTGTCTTGTTTTGTTTCAGCTTGAGATAGAAGCTCACTATGTAGACCAGACTTGCTTGTAGCTTGCAGTGGTCCTCCTGTTGGCTTTCTTTCTTTCTTTCTTTCTTTCTTTCTTTCTTTCTTTCTTTTTACTGTGATAGTACATATATATCTATGTTGCTTTTTAAAAATATTTTGTATTTTATGTGTGTGGGTGTTTGCCTACGTATGCGTCTGTGCACCATGTTCATGTCTTACTGTACCTTTTTAAGCTTGGTAAAGTGCTTGCTGGGATCCAGTGCTGGACCTTGTGCATGCCAGGCAAGTTCTCTACCACTGAACTATATTCCAGCCTCTCATTTTGGTCATTTCAAAGTACAAAGTTTAGTGACAATTACATTTAATTCACATCGTACATTCTCTATCTCCAGAATTTTCTCTTTATTTTATATTGAACTTTGAATAGTTCCTGAGCCAGGCGTGGTGATGCCGCTTTGAGCTTCCAGCCCTTGGAAAGCCAAGACAAGAAGGTTAGAAGTTTGAGGTCAACCTGGGCTATATTAACCCTGTCTCTAAGCCCAGAAAATTTCAAAGCCCCCATTTCCCATTTTCCTTGACCCCTCAAATAACCATTCTGGGACATTTAATTTTAAGATTGTATATTTATAAAAACCAGAGTAAAGTTAGAGCTGTTGACATTTTTACTTATTTGTTATGATTAGTATTAGTTTTAGGTATTTACTTCTTTAAAACATTTATTAAACTGTAAATACTACGTACAACATACTGCTTTGAAGTATGTATGCATTATATCCTGGCTAAGGTGAGCTAGTTAGCATTCATTACCCGTTTTCTGTGATGAGATATTTCAGTTGTCAGTTTGCTGTGCCATGCATTTTGCTGACCTTGTAGCAGAAACAGAACCATCTTGGTCCAGAAGAATTTTTGTCTATTTATTTGTTTTGTTTTTCAAGACAGGGTCTCTTTATTTAACAGCTCTGGGTATTCTGGAACTTGCTCTGTAGACCAGGCTTGCCTCAAATTCACAGAGATCTACCTGCTCTGCCACCCAAGTACCAGGATTAAAAGCATGTGCCATCATGCCCCACAAGAATTTTTAATATAGAAAAAGGGATATAGTTAATTCACACAAAAAGGCTTACTTGTATGTAGATGGAGGCTGTTTGTTTGGTCCTGGCTGCCCAGATCCGAAATAATCACATAGAAACTATATTAATTATAATACTGTTTGGCCAATAGCTTAAGCGTATTTCTAGCTGGCTCTTATATCTTAAATTAACCCATTTTTATTATTTTACATTTTACCATGAGGCTTGTGTTTGACTGGTAAGGTTCCCGAGCATCTTTCTCCTTTGGCTACATGGCGTCTCCGTCTACTCCGCCTGCTCTCTCTCTGTATCTTTTCCAGCCTCGCTATATTCTGTTAAGCCATTGGTCGAAAGCATCTTCTTTATTAGCCAATGGCAATAAAACATATTTGTAGTATATAGAGGGGAATCCCACATCAGTTGTATATCTAGGAGAAAATATTCTGAAAGCAAAATAGTGCTTACAAATCAGTGGCTTCAGTCTCTCTTGTTGCTTTATCATAGTCTGGGTCTCAGCAGTTCTGTTGCCAGGATTTACAGTGTTGATGGGATACAGTAGTAGAAGGACAGTGCTACCTAAAGCAAGCACAGTAAAGCAAAGATGCAGGCAGGCCTTGATGAGTGCCAGTTGAAGGCATAGACACGCATGGGTGGCACTAAGTTAGGAGCTGTCCTACCCAGATTCCTTAGGAATGCATCAAAGGTTCATAATTCAGTTCATGCCTTGGATAAAAGCTGGGTGAGGGTCTCCTAGTTGCTCCTGGATAACAAAAGAATCTGTACAGAGCATTTGTGTGCGCTATGGCATGTTTAAAAGATTACTTATTTTTAGCCTGGTTTGTAATAGCAAAAATTAAGAATGTGTCCTTCAGTAAGGAGAACATTAAATAGATTTCAGAACTTTCCTTTAATGGAATACACATGTGCATGCCCGCCAGCACATGGCTGAGCACGAGCACATGTGCTCATTCCTTGCACATACACAGACAGAAATGAATGGGGAAATGCTGATCTTTAGTACTTCTAAGGAGGAAAACAAGTCTAGTACAGTAGTAGGCTATACTATTTCTTCAGGAAAAAGGAAATAAATGGGAACTTATCTTTACTGTTACTGGTAAATACATCAAACTCTAGAAGTGTATGCTGAAAACAGTGTGTATGTAAGGGCAGGTTGAGGTCTGGGTGGAGGAGGGGCACATAAATATAGACACTTTCCCTCTGGCGGAAGTGGAGTTGTAAGACAACTGAATACTAAATAGTTGCTGTCTGCTGACTAGTAAGTTATATCCGTGGGATTTCATGTGCCTTAATAGACCTGTTTGTTTCTTGTAGGTTTATGGTCACGGTTTAAAAAGAAATTATTTAGGCTAATAAGGAAGATGCCAATTATTGGACGCAAGGTAGGTTACAGTCTGAGCAGATCTTTCCCTGTTTGGTGTACATACCACTTCTTTCTGTTGCCAGATCAATATTCTCAAGAAAGAGGAGTGATTTTTGTCCCCCAAACTTAGGGGCCATTTGACAGTGTATGGAAACTGGTTAGGTGACAACTCTAATGGCAGGCGTCTAGCTAGCATCTATGAGTGGAGGCTGGGCAGCTGTCAAACACTTCCCAGTGCGTGGTATGGATGGCCCCACAGCAGGAGAATCTGGCTTAAGCCACATTTGAGAATCCTCACCTTAACACTTTCTCCAGAGAGAGATGAGGAGTCTGGTAAGGAACAACTTGAAATTAGAAAACCCGACTGAGTGAAGTCTTACTGTGCTTTAGAACAATATTTGGCTGGACTGAATTTGGATACACATCTGGGGATTAGATTACAGGTTGGCAGACTTTCTGTGAAGAACCACAGGAATCATTTTTGAGTCTGTGGTTCCCAGAAAGAAGATAGGTAAGGGATGAACCTGCCTGTGTTCCAGGGAAACTATATTCACAGGACCTGGTAGGCCTCTGGCAATAATGCCCCATTTCCAGGGTTGGAAACGTGCGAGAGATAACAGCAGCTTTCTTGCCCTTTGCCCCTCTTTCCAGTAGACCCGCTCTCTTCACTTTGTCCTCTTTGCTATCACTCACGCGGGATAAGATTTCTCCTCAGGGCTGGACTCTTTATCAAGGGAGGATAAGCCGGACAGGCTCCTCGCAAGATGTAAAGACCTGTAAGTTCTGAGAGTCTTCAGAGTCCCAGTGCCCTGCTCTGACATGTCTCCTACCTCTCTGGCTTTCCCCAGCTTTACTTATTTTCAGTTTTTCCTACACTTCTGACTTTGAGTCTCCTGGAGTGGGAGATGGGAGGCTTCTGTGGCAGGCTGTGTCACAAGGGAGAGGAGGACTCCCCATTAGTATTCCTTGGGATTTGAATGTCTCCAGCCATCAGTTACAAGAATGATTTGATTTAACCGATTGACTGATTTTTTTTTGCAGTGTTACGAATTAAATCAGGTACCGCCTACAGAAAAGGCAAGCTGTCTGTCACTGAGCTGTGTTCCCAAAGAAACATTCTTTCTTTGATGGTGGCAGTGGGGGGTGCGGGCTTGAGTCCTCAGTGTGAGGCAGGCTCTTGACTGCAGAGCTGCCGTAAAATGTTCAGTTTGTTGAGGTTTGGTAGTAGCAGTGGTGATGGCATCATTGTCGGTGATGGTGGCGGTGGTGGCGGTGGTGATGGCGGCAGCAGTGGTGGTAGCCATGACACATGGGACCTCAGACATGCTAGATGCTGGGCCGCACTTTACTGCTGAACTCCATTCCTAGCCCCTCAACAGTTTTGAGACAAATAAATAAATGCTAGGATTCCAGAACTTATTCTTAGACTTATAACGTTATAGAATTGAAGATCCTTAGAGGCCATATAGGTACCTTCATTTTTCAGATTCTGAGGCTTAGAGACAGAAAGTTATTATATGCATTCACATGTACATGTTCTCAATATTCATTTTTTTTTAACTGTTTTGCCAGTTGAACAGCAGCAGGTTTTTCCTTTTATGGAACTTGCATTTTAGTAGAAAAGACAGAAAGCAATTAAGCATAACATTTGCATTTTATAATTTTGTTAAAATTTTAAATATGAAGGTAAATTTTATGTGTAAGTATAAAATTTATAAATTTATAAAAATAAATTTTATAATGTAATGGATGTAAGAATTGGTGATGGGAAGAACTTGCTGTGCTTTTTAATATTCTTCCCAATGGAATTTTGGGGGGGGTTCTGTTTTCCCTCCTTAAAACAGTGATCTATGCATGACCATTCAGCTTTCATAATTTGTTCCTCATGTATTGTCACTGTACATACAGCATGATCTTCTATTTATGACTTAAAGAACACTTCTATGTCCGAAGCATGCTTCAACGGTGTCCAGTGGTCTGCCCCTCAGTGCTGACATGCTCTGAAGGAGCAGCTTTTCTGTGACTTCCTTCATAGTCTAATCATCCGTGGCCAGGGCTGAGAAAATGAAAACTGGTGTGAGATCTTGGGCATTAGACTTTACTGACTGTATTGCTGAGGCTACAGCACTGTAGCATCTATATTGACTGTAACATACAGCCTTTCCCTCCGTACTTACCATCCAAGTCTCAACAGTAGTAGCCATGTTGTGTCCATAATTTGCTGTTTCTCCTGGGCACCGTTAGTAGAATTTTGTCTCTCTTGCTAAAAGCAAGCATCAAGAGATGAGGGTTTTGTATTGGTTTTTTGTTTTGTTTTATTTTTTCAAGACAGGATTTCTGTCTGTGTATAACAGCTCTGGTTGCCCTGAAACTCACTTTGTAGAGCAGGCTGGACTTGAAGTCAGAGATCAAAGACGTGTACCACTACCTTCCAGCTGTTTTTTTTTTTTTTTCATTTTAGTATTTTAGTGGCTGTATCCCTAGCTTATAGTGGGAAGTAGTTCAGCAGATATTTGTTGAGCAAATGAGTAAATAAATGAAAAGAAGTGGCTCAGAAAGTATTCCTTTGAGGATGGAAAAGAGTCATAGTTGATAAATTTCATGGCAGAAAGGACCATAGTTTCTCCTAGCATTTCTGGGTCAGATGGGGTGAAGCTGCCCATAGAGATTAAGGAGTCGTGGTATAATCATTCTGACAGTTCTTAAGTCCGTGCAGGCACCTTGGGAGCTGTGTGGATCTCCATACTTTTTAAATGTCTGTTAAAGTTATTTGTCAATTGTAAAACAGCTAGGACCCCTTTTTGCTGTAGCTTGGCCTGTTTTATGTCAGCCTTTGTCAATGGCAGTATCGCTGTTGACAACACAGCAACAAAGGTCTTATGTCGCACTCAGGCTAGTGCTGGCTTAAGCCAGTTCAAACCAAGTACAGTGCAGTGTTAGTGATGTCAGCACAGCTGGCAAAGGTGGACGTTTAATACATCTTTGACTTTTAGAAGGAAAGCTGGTTTCTTGAATTTCTAAGAGGCATTGTACACACTGGCTGGCTAAAGAGATAAAATGTTCATTTTCCTTTAAAAAAAAGATAAATCCCTTCTAATTTAGTACACCTATGCATTGTCTGGTGTTGAGCCATTGACTGGATCTCAGAGGTAGCCTCTCTATACTTCACTCTTTCACCTCTTGTTAACTGTTTTTTCTTTATCCTTGGAGATCGAAGAGCAGCTGCGGAAGACGAAGAAGGATCTCGTCAAGCACATGCCGTTCCTGAAGGTGGACAGAGAGTATGTGAAAGCTCTGCCTGCTCAGGGCCTGAGCGCGGCTGAGGTTCTGGAGAAACTCAAGGAGTACAGTTCCATGGGTAAGCCTTGGCCCAGGGTGCTGCCTCTGTCCCTCATTGGCTAATGTTGACGCAGATCAAGGATCACATGTACTGGAGGACCCATTCCCTACTTCAAAGACCAGATTTCATATTGCATATTGTGGTATCGAAATTTATATCAAAATTGTGGTATCCGTTTCAAGGCACAGAAGATTACTATAATTCCATCATCCAAAGATGAGCACAGGGGGCTGGAGAGATGGCTCAGTGGTTAAGAGCATTGCCTGCTCTTCCAAAGGTCCTGAGTTCAATTCCCGGCAACCACATGGTGGCTCACAACCATCTGTAATGAGATCTGGTGCCCTCTTCTGGCCTGCAGGCATACACACGGACAGAATATTGTATATATAATAAATAAATATTAAAAAAAAAAAGATGAGCACAAAGCTGGGTGTGGTGGTGCTTCCCATAATTCCAGTACTTAGGAGGCTGAGATAAGAGGATTGCTGCAAGCCCAAGACCAGTCCAGGTCTTGTAGCATCAGGTCAGCTAGGACTTTAATAGATACTGTCTCAAAAAATGAACAAAGATGAACACAGATGATAAAGATACGTAGGTAGGGGCTAGAGGTTTAGTGCTTAAGAGTACTGGCTGCTTTTCCAAAGATCTGGGAAATTCCTAGCACTCACCTGGTGGCTTACAACTATCTGTAACTCTAGTTCCAGGGGATCCAGATAACCTCTTCTGGCTTCCCTGGCGTGAGACATGCACATGGGTACACAGACATACATGCAGGCAAAACACCTATAAACATAAAAAAAAAGTTAATTGAAAAAAAAAAGAAAGAAATAGGTAGGTGGTTGATGGATGAATGTACAATTGATTTGTATGGGTGTATATTTGTCTACACCTATTGAGTTATACAGATGTATTGGTCTTCTATATGCATTGACACATACCATCTTCAAGAGCATAACCGGAGAATCATTCAGGTTCACAAATGCCTAGACTTTCAACTTTAATATGACCTTGGGAGAGACATTTACCTTTTGTGTGCTCCAATTTATTTCTACAACCTCTACTTCCCTAAAAGTCAGATTAAGAGATTAAAGGAGAGCTGGAGAGATGGCTTAGAGGGTAAGAACAATGACTCTTCTTCAAGAGGTCCTGAGTTCAATTCCCAGCAACCGTGGTTCTCAACCATCTATAATCAGATCTGGTACTCTCTTCTGGCATTCAGGCATACATACATACATACATGCAGGCAGATACTGTATGTATAATAAAAAAAATCTTAAAGATTAAAGGAAATCATATATGAAAACATGTCGTACCGGGCATATGTCATTGAATACTTGTTTAGTAAGTGCTAAGTATTGCTGTTGCTGGTATTAACATAAACACATGCATGTTTGTTATAGGTAAGCCTTTGGTTTTTGAAACAGGGTCTTAAGATAGCTGAGGATGACCTTGAATATTTGGTTTTCTTGTTACCACTTTCCGTCAGCTTGGATTGCAGGATGTGTCACTGTGCCCGGTTTATCCAGTGCTAGCACTGAACTTACAGCCCAGTACATGCCAGTCAAGCACTGACCAACTGGGCAACATCTCCTTCCAAATACGCTTTTTAGTTTGACATTTTAAATTATAAATAAGTAGCAAAAATGGAATAGCAGCTTCCTGTGTGCTCCTCACCCTAATTGTAAAGCATGTTACATTTGTCAAACTAGAAAAATAAGCGATAAAAAAGCACTGTGAACTAGGAACAGATTCTGTTTAATTAGTTTTTCTATTCATATCCATTTTTCTGTTCTAGGACTCAATTCCGATTGTACTTTGACAAACAGCCTTTAAATTTTCTAATGGATATCTGTAGATTTCTTGATATTATGTAGTGTAGAATTAAATATAGTGTGGTACAAGTGTGTCCAACCTGTAGCCCATGGAAACATGTTTCCCAAGATAGCTGTGTGTGAGGCTCAACACGTTTGTAGATGACAGCGCCATATTTTAGTGTATACAAGGTTGAGTGCGCCTGGTCTAGGATGTGATGACGCGGAATAGTTAGCAACCCTGGGACCTGCATGGTGTAGATTTCTGTTTTTCAGGGCATGTTGCTGCCTTGCTTCCTACATTTCTTATGTCGTAACCCAGCTATATTCTTTTAGTTAAAGAGCAGGATGTGAAACCGCATCCTGTCTGTCCGTCGGCGTGGTGACCACAGGCCTGAAGACACGTGTGGTACACAGCCATGTCCTGTAGGAAGAGTGAAAGTAGATGGAGACGCATGCTGCTCTTGTTAGAACTGGAGAACTGGGCTTTGGAGGGCCAGTACTTCCGTGCACTTTTTAGTTAGTGTGTTTCTGCAACACCCCTCTCACGGACCACTTTTAATGGGGTGCAGCTTTGTGATAGCAGAAAGAGCCGAAGGACCCATCTCAACAGATTTGTTAGTATAATACAGAACCTTTCTGGGACAGCAAGTGGAACTTTGTGGAGAACCCTTTTTGCCTTGTCTCGTCACCTCCATGCCACTCTTGAATGTTATGGCATAGGCAAGTGGCTATTGCAGTGGCGTGTATTAGGGTGGGGCCTGAGCTGGAGGTGCTCCTCCATTGGTATGCTTTGTGCTCTGGCTGCAGCTCTGGAGTTTGAATAGTGAGATTTCACACTTGCTCATTTCTGTCAGCTCTGCTTAGAGCAGTTCCTGTTCTTCCTGTGACTGAATAGGGAAATGAGGGGATGGGGAAGCTCCTGCAGAACAGGGTCATATGGAGAACAGGAAATACATGGAGGCAAAGGGCGACTTTTATGTCCAGAGACAATAGCTGAGAGTGAGGGCAGCATTACTGTCTGTCTTCGCTATACCTTGATGCAGTTCCTATTTTCCCGCAGTTGTTGACACTAATGAATAACCTTTCGTCTCTGTTTTACTGTGGTAAAGCATTATTGAAATTCTTTTGGTTTTTAACATAAGAATAGCATTGAATTTCCACTCAACTTATTCATTTACTCTTTTTAATTTTTTTAAATTCATATGTATGGGACTGCATTTGTGTGGGAATGTGTACACTTGAGTGCAGATCACCTTAGAAGCTAGAAGAGGGCATTGGATCGCCTAGAGCTGGAGATACAGACAGTTGTGAGCTGCCTGATGTGGGCACTGGGATCTGAACTCTGGTCGTCTGCAAGAGAATACATATTAACTGCTGAGCCATATGTCTGGTTCTTGAAATTTTTTTTTCCCATATGCTCTAAAGTTTTTGTCTATCCTGTCTGTGTTACTATCTGTCTTCCCAGTGATGCCTGCTCCTGACTGAGGAACCTTGACTTTTTTCTGCAGATGTCTTCTGGCAAGAAGGGAAAGCCTCGGGAGCTGTGTACAATGGAGAGCCGAAGCTCACAGAGCTACTGGTGCAGGTGAACACTGGGTGCTTGTGTGCATAGGTGCCATTCCTAGTTCATTTAATTATAATAATAATAGGAATAATAATATCACTTAAGGGAATTTTATTGTTGAAAGTTTCTTCTCACGCAGATGGGTGAATGTGCACATTGCCAAATGCATCTTTAAACTGTAAAAAGGTGAAATGTCATTTATACCTCTGGACTTTACAGGGTCCTTTGAGGAAGCCATATTCCTAGTGAAGGAGCCTGCCATTTGAGGATATTGCTCATGTTTTTTGAGACAGGGTCCCTATATAGCCCTGACTGTCCTTGAGTTGCTTATGTAGACCAGTCTGCTTCAGACTCACAGAGATCCTCCTGCCTCTGCCTCCTAAGTGCTGGAACTTTGCTGGGTTTTATTTGAATTTTTGTTTTGTTTTGTTTTTTTGAGACAGGGTTTCTCTGTGTAGTTTTGGAGCCTGTCCTGGAACTCACTCTGTAGACAAGGCTGGCCTCAAACTCACAGAGATCCACCTGCCTCTGCCTCCCGAGTGCTCTGATTAAAGGTGTGCGCCACTAATTAACGCCCTGCTCATTAGAAGTTTTTAATGCTAGAACCAATGTTGTTTGATAAGGAAGTCAGGGCAAGGCTGCTCGATCATAATGTTCTCAAAGCATACCCCACAAGATGGTCCTATCTGTAGAAGGGATGTAGCGTTTTCCATTTGTTATCAAGCTTATTAGTTTTGAAAGCCACTCTTGTAAGAAATTACACTTAAAGTTGTGGTCTCTCAGGCCTTGTGTTTATTTTATTTTATTTTTTTTTTTGGTTTTTCGAGACAGGGTTTCTCTGTGGTTTTGGAGCCTGTCCTGGAACTAGCTCTTGTAGACCAGGCTGGTCTCGAACTCACAGAGATCCGCCTGCCTCTGCCTCCCGAGTGCTGGGATTAAAGGCGTGCGCCACCACCGCCCGGCAAATGTGTAGCCCAGGCTGGCCTCGAACTCGTGATCCTCCTGCCTCTGCCTCCTTCAGCAAATCCTACCGGCGTGCGCCACCACAACCGGCCCTTGTGTTTATTACTGTGAAACCACACACACCTTAGTGTTTTACTTAGTTATATATTGATATAATATCCTGGTCATAACTCTGTGTTTAAACTTTTCGTCATCTGTTGATGAAGCTCAGGTTCTCATGCAGGAGGAATGATGTGTCTCTGTCCATTCAGACTCTACCTGTTGTTCCAGCCATCCCTGGTACCTCCCATGTAGGCATGTGCCTTGCTCGTCCACGTTCTTTCCCTCCTGTTCCATAGGATAAATTTCCATTCGTCTCGTGAGGTTCCTCTCACCAAACACCTAGAGCACTCAGGATGTTAGCAGGTCCCTCATCGAGTCCCTTAGCACATATTAATTCAACAACAGTGGCTGCTTTGTGGCAGGCAAACTGTCATTGCTTTTCATGTTTCGTTGTTTTCGTTCATTATTGCTAGAACCCTGTAAGGTAGACACCATTAGTCCCCTTTGCCTGTGAGGAAACTGAGCCTCAGAGGGCTTATTTGACCTGTACAGCTAAAGGTTATAGGCAAAGCTGTATGACTTCAAAGTGATGATGATCCGTTGGTGCTATAGTTGAATACTTTCAACACTTCTTCCTTTATCACATTGTAAAATCACTTAGGTATAGGTCAGTCTCTTCTGTTATATTTTGATCTTTAAGTTGAGGAATAGTTCATACCCTTTTTCCAGTTCCTACTGTTGGACCCAAAACTTGAACACCTTACTCGGTGCATGATTTTCGCCTTATTTAGTGTAACAGTCTATCTCATATTGTATCTCTTTGCCTTACTTTGCAGGCTTATGGAGAGTTCGCCTGGAGCAACCCGCTGCATCCAGACATCTTCCCTGGACTACGGAAGTTAGAGGCAGAAATTGTAAGGATGACTTGTTCCCTTTTCAACGGGGGACCAGATTCCTGTGGTTGTGTAAGTGACTTGTAATGAACATTTTAAAATAGTCTACTATACAGTTATTATATTGTTGTTGTATGTAGAATATGAAAATGTTACTCGTACTTCTGGAATCCTGCGTGTCAACATTTCGGTATATGTTCTAGGTATTTTTCCTCCTCAACTTCATATTTTCAAAAACCTTTAAGCCTATATAAAGTTGCTAGGACAGTTTAAAGAACACTGGGCTCATCAGATATTTTGCCACATTTCTCTACTTGACTATTTTCTCCTTCTCTTCTCATCTACATAGCTATTGATCTACTACCCCTTCCCCCATTTCTTTTTGGTATTCTGAGAAAGAGTCTCACAGCCCAGGCGACCTTGAACCTCCTTTGTAGCTAAGGATGACCTTGAACTCCTGAAACCCCTGTCTCTTCCCCCGCCCCCAGTGTTGTGATTGTTGGCGGTTGGCTTTTTCTGCTTTTTCTTTTCTTAAAGTGCTTTTCTTAACCCTAACATCACATTGAAAAAAGTCACCTTGTCACTTTCCACACTAGCGAGGTTTTATTTCTTGTACAGCGGGGAGTTTGGGGTTTTCTGCAGTCTCCTGTTGCACTGTGACCTTGGGCAAACCCCTGGTCCATGCACTGTTAGAGGGGAAGATCCAGGTTTGGTTGTACTTTGTTTTAGGGTTTAGCTAGTTCTTAACGCTAGTTCAGTGATAGATATAATTTTTAATGATTTGTCAAACTATTTAGTTTTTTAATGTTAGAAAAGTTGCTTAGGGTATTAACTATATGTTGCTGGAAATAGAAACTCCGTCATATTTTTCTTATATGACAGGCCAAAATCAATGGAAAGCCCCTTGCCCTCTGAATCTTCTTACCCTCATATCTTTTAAAGAATTTATTTATTAATTTAATTTTTATGTGGGTTGGTATTTTGCCTGCATGTATGTTTGTGTGAGGAAGTTGGATCTGGAGTTACAGACAGTTACCAGCTGCCATATGAGTGCTGGGAATCGAACCCAAGTCCTTTGGAAGAGCAGTGGATGCTCTTAACCACCGAGCCATCTCTCCAGTCCCACCCTCCCATCTTTTCTAGGCTATTCAGGTATTTGCATGTTTCCTTGGATCTCAGCTATCCAGGCATTGACTGCACCACACAGCTCTCTAAGTAGAGGGAGGCATTGGTCTTTCTGTGGTTACCTTTTTTTTTTTTTAAAAAAAGATCTGGATTCACTATAAGTGTATCTCAGAACTTTTTTTTTTTTTGAGTGAGAATTTTTTATTTTTAGGGGTGCTTATTCTGTTTCTTGCTGTTCTTGATAAATTTACTCCTTCTGTGAGTGCCATTTGTTATTTTGTTGTTGGTCTGTTGTCTCATTCTGTTGTTTTGTTGTCTGGTTTTGATTTTCGGTCGCATTCATTATGATCTTATGATTATGTGGTAGGGCAGTGGTTCTCAACCTGTGGGTCAAGACTGTCAGAAAACACTTATTTCCACCGGTCTTGAGGAACTGAGACACCTGCTGCTCAGTAGTGAAATTGCAGTTATGAAATAGCAACAAAAGTAACATTTGTGGTTGGGGGCTCCTAAGATCATCAGATACATGTGTTTTCCAGTGGTCGCAACACATAGGTTGAGAACAGAATTGCTGCGGTGAGACACCATTATAAGGAAGCCGCTTCAGCTGTTTCCTTACGAGTTTGGGCTTTCATTTTTCATACCCAGCCCTATATTTACAATAGTTGCCATTTGCTTCATCCTGGTTCTGCAGTAATCTCTCCTGGTGGTCTGTTTATATTGACTCAAGGTGGGTGACTAGCCTGCCCGGCTGGCTGGAGTTTTGTTCCTTCTCTATTAGAATTTCAGGGTCTGTTCTTCAGAGATTCTATTAAACGTTCTCTCCGCACAGTTGCAAGAGGGTAGTCTACGTTGAGATTTAATCCACCACGAACCCCTGAGGTCTTTACTCTTACAGGGGTCAGATTTGCTGTCTTTCTGTGTTGCTTCTTTCTCCCCATCAGTCCTGTCCACTACACACAGAAAGAGAATGGGGAAACCTCTGTTTCTCTGAGGATGCAGTGGGAGGCTTTCCAAGACTCTGCTGACAGCCTGATTCCCAGGGCTGACTAGGCACCGTTTGGTTGTACTTCTGCATCTGCCCTGTGCTACTCTTCTCTGTCAGTGTTTGAAATTTGTTACATAGACTTCTCTTTCCATATTTGGTGGTGATCACCGCAGAGCTCTTGGGGTTGTTGCCGTTGTTGTTGCTTCCTTTCTGGTTTCTTTCGGGTAATGAGTAGTCAGTCTTCCATATTAATACAGAAACACAGCCCTAAGGACTGTCAAACTGCTGCAGTGAAGCCTCGTCTCTTTCCAGTTATCTTTGTGGTGTGGCAGGGACCAGGAGAAAGGACGACGTTCGGTTTCCAGTCTGTCCCTTCTTGTGTCTAGACTTCTATCGAGTGCTCTCCTTGTTTCCCTCCCTCCCTCCCTTAGTCTCATTCTCTTTTCTGTCTCTGCATCTCTCTGTGTGCCTCTCTTGATGAGCTGTTCCTGGTGAAAAAGGATTCACTGTTGAGAGAAGCAAGATTAGGCCAAATTAAAGGGAAATCTTTAGACTGAGCCTAGCTGTGGGTCTTAAATACTTCTCAGGCCTTTCTCTTCTGCTTCAAAGTACCTTTCCCTATAGTAACTTCATTTACCTCATTCACAATGGATTTGAGGACAAATTCGTATACTAAAAATCAGATTACAGGTACTTTGACTGGCTTACATAAATACCACCATGTTCAGCCATATCTGAAAGAAAGTGTCTCATGTCCTTAAACACATACCTCAGAGTAAATTTTTATATATTTTGAAAAAAGTTGATAGACACAAGTGACTTGTGGCCTGTTTTCTTAATCCATAATTACATTTCTGTCCTGAAGACAGGACACATGATCAGATGACTAGGGAATTAGGAAATGTTATTGTTTAGGTCATTGTCAGACTTGTAAGTGTAAGGCCTGGTACTTTTCCAGCTGTCTGGGTATCTCATGTGACAACGCTGAGGTAATAGGCTAGACCACAGAGTGTCATTGCTGACTTGTTGAGTTAATCTCCATTACCAGTCTGTCTTTTCCAGCATAAAGGGTTTTTGTTTGTTTGTTTGTTTTTTATTTTTTTAAAGACAGGGTTTCTCTAGCTTTGGAGCCTGTCCTGGAACTAGCTCTTGTAGATCTGCCTGCCTCTGCCTCCCGAGTGCTGGGATTAAAGGCGTGTGCCACCACCGTCCAGCATTCCAGCATAGAGATTTACAAACAAGGGTCCTGTCCTGTGTCCATTCTGTGAGCTATTTTAGGGAGGGTGGTCACATGTTTCTTAAAAGACTTCTTGAGTCAAAAAAAAATTACAAAGAAGATAACTTAATTTTCTGAGTTAATATTTTTCCTAACTCTTGACCACTGGGATTCTATACCGTGGTATTTTTATCCTGTATGTAGATGTTAGGAAGGTTCAGTAATAATTTTTCATTCTAGCTCTAATTAATATATAATCCAAAGTACAGAAAGTTTTACTTATCAACAGATATGATGGGTAACACTGAATGAATTGTTTAGGATCTTGAGTTTTCTTCTTGAAAAGAAAAACCCAAGAGTGTAGGACTCTTCAGAGATGCAGAGTCTAAGATCAGATCCTACTAGCTCAGTGCGGTAGCCTTCAGCTCGTTGGGAAATTATTCAAGCTCAGATATTACTGGAAGATAGTGAGGTAATAGGGTGTGTTTACTGAATGTCAGGTTGGGTTTCAGAAGCGTTAGTTGCTGGACACCGGCACACCTGTATCCCTCGTCTCTGACCTACACTGTCCTTCTGAACAGTGTCCACTCTGCAGCATTGCCCACGCCCTCGTCTGTTTCTGCATCAAACATTTTCCAGGTCAAAGCGGGCTGTACCTCCTGATCCCTGTCCTTAACTTACTTCTTTTCTTCACGTAGATGACATCTGGGGGCACAGAAAGCATCCTGATGGCTTGCAAAGCTTACCGGGACTTGGCCTTTGAGAAGGGGATCAAAACTCCAGAAATGTATGTATGTGTGTCTGTTTCCCCTCTGATTATTGTCTGTTTGAGGCAGTATAGTGTCAGCTGAGCCCAGTCTGTTTCTCTTCCTCCTACAATGCCAGCCTTCTCTCCCTGGCCCAGCCCCTGTACCTCTCCCTTACCCCTTCACATCCAATAGTCTTCTAAATGGAGCAGTTGGTTAGGCGAGCTTAAACACAGTGAACACCATTAGCGAGAATGACATCCTTTTTCCAAAAGAGACAGAGGACTCCTCTGTCGTTAGTTTATCCAGAGCCTAAAGAAACTGTCTTTGCACTATAGCTCAGTGAATGTTTCTGAAGTGTCTCTTAGATTACTTCAGGTAGGAACATTTCCACTTGAGAGATGTTTCTAGAAGAAAGAATTTAAAAATGGTTGTATTTTTAGGTTTAGTTACTACTATTGTTTTTGGTGTGGATATAATTTTGGTTCTTGGCTGACTTGCTTCTAGTCCACCTCTATACAGGGTACTGATATTATACCTTTTAGGCTAGTGGTTTTTTTTTTTTTTTTGTTTTTTTCTCCAAGCATAGGTAACTAAGTAGTTTTTGCTCTGAATGTCATCAAACTGACTCCAATTGCCTAGGAGAACAAACCTGGCTGCTACCACCATCTTCACATGTAAACCTTTGGTGCTTGGCGCTTAGTCATTGTAGAGAATTTTCTCTTTTACGGAAACAGTCATGGTGAGAGTGGAGTAATGGGGATATCTGGAAGCAGATATGTACCTGTGACTCTGTTTTCTCTTTGAACATTATTCAAAAACTATTTGTAACCATGTAGGAGAGGCAGATTTTAGTTTTCCATGGGTTGATGATTGTTCAGAGCGGGCAGGCCCCTCTGGCCTTGAGGTGTGGCTGCCTCTTTCTGCTGGGCAACCTTACTATCTGCATCTTGCTTCTCTCAGCGGTCCTTTGGGATGGTCTGTCTCATACACCCGTATCTGAACCCTCTGCCATTGCTTTGTATCCTTTTGTGTTCTGAGATTTCCTTCCTGTTGCCAAAATAATATCCTAGATAGTAGAAAGAAATTGTCTGCAGAAAATCAATACGGCTCTTTTTGTTTATACCAAGAAAGTATAAACATAATAGTGCGAGGGAAACTGATCAGACGCTTGACCTGGTTACTTACATTGCTGAGGTGTTCTGCTGGATCCTGCTGTGCTCTACATTTCTCTGTCCCTTCCCCCATCACCTAGTGTGGCTCCTGAGAGTGCCCATGCTGCATTTGACAAAGCAGCTCATTATTTTGGAATGAAGATTGTACGTGTTGCAGTGGACAAGAACATGGAGGTGAATGTGCGGGTGAGTCCTGAAGGTTCACGGGGCAGAGTGTCACACTGACTATCCAGTCCTACACAGACGGACTCCCCTGCTCAGAGTAGAGCAACTGGAGCAGAAACTAGACTGACAGTGTGACACACAGCCAGATTTCTAGTGCTAACAGGTGGATGATCTGGTCCCTGATGGTGTAGAACCCGATTTTACTTGCAACATCTTTACTTTCTTTTCTTTTTTTTTTTTTTTTTTTTTTTTTTTTTTTTTTTTTGGTTTTTTCGAGACAGGGTTTCTCTGTGGCTTTGCAGCCTGTCCTGGAACTAGCTCTGTAGACCAGGCTGGTCTCGAACTCACAGAGATCCGCCTGTCTCTGCCTCCCGAGTGCTGGGATTAAAGGCGTGCGCCTCCATCGCCCGGCACTTTCTTTTCTTTATTCGTGAAATGAGCATGGATGTACTTGGCCCCAACACCCGCTTTCACGGACCTGACCATGTTTTTATGTCTCACATATGTGTAGAGGAGCTTTTCATCTATCAAAACTGTTCTATTATTGGAATTTGTAGGTTGCAAGGTTAAATCAAGTTTTTACTAAATCTTCACTGGTAAATTGTGGGTCTGGGACTCACAGTTACCTCCTTTGCCTCCCAGCTCAGTGTTGTTTCTATTTCCATAGCGGTTGCATTGCTCTCAGGTAGTGTTTCCATGTGGACTAGTGTGCATCCTTCATAGCAGAAGGCAGTCTTCCCAGGGTGCAGAGACAGAGGGGGCACTTGCGAACCTGGACTCTGAGCCAGTAGTCTATATTGTCCTTATGGCAAAAGACATGAGCAGCTGTGACTAAGATTCTTATTTCTCTTAAACTTTCAATCCCTAGGCAATGAGAAGAGCCATCTCCAGGAACACAGCTATGCTGGTGTGTTCTGCCCCACAGTTTCCTCATGGTGTGATCGATCCTATTCCTGAAGTGGCCAAGGTGAGAAACAGGCTATGCAGATGAATACTTAAGATAGATGTGATGTACAGGGCTATGTGAGGAGAAGGAGTTTTGATTTTTAGGTTTGAACATAGCAGAGATTGCTAGCATTCATCAATCCTAAGGCAAGCAAGCCCCTGCACCTCTTTTGGGAGCCTCTTAAAGTCACTGGCATCTTGGTTGGGAAAAGGACCCAGGCTGCCTATAAGCCAGGTATTTTGAAATAGATGCTTAGATTCCTACCAGGAAGTAGTCTGCCATTAGGAACATGCCCACCATTTAAGACTGAAGTAAGGACCCCCCCCCCCCAGAGGCTATTAAATCAGAGTTCTGCTATCTCTTATATGGGGTAGGGGAGCTTGAGGTCAACGCATATTTAAATACAAATTACATGCAGTACATTTCAGATGGATTCTTTTGAAGACTAAATATACATGAAAAATAAACTTCACTTAAAAATGTTAAAAATAACTCTTTGGGGTTTGGGATTGTGGATCAGTTGGTAGAGTGTACTCCAGGCCAGCACCAAGTCCTGGTTTTGATTTTCAGCACCCCATGAAATTGGGCATGGTCATCTGAGGCAGAAGGGTCTTCCATGAGCTAAATATCATGTTCCAGGCCAAGCTGGAGTACATGAGACCCTCTCTTCAAATAAATGTACAGGTAGCCACTTAACACCAGTGGGGTGTAGTTCAGAGTAGCCACTCGTATCCTGCTAAGGGTTTATGTATAAATCTCCTATGTTCTTTTTTAACTAGCTGGCTCTCAAATACAAAATACCTTTTCATGTGGATGCTTGTCTGGGGGGCTTCCTCATTGTCTTCATGGAGAAAGCAGGGTACCCACTGAAGAAACCGTTTGATTTCCGGGTGAAAGGTGTGACCAGCATCTCGGCAGATACTCATAAGGTGAGTTAAGGAAGTGGCCAACTGCTGGCAGTTGGTGAGCTTAGCTGTTCTCCACAAAAGGAGTTGAGTGGAACATTAGTCTCCCCACACACATAAACTGTTTTAGGGTTTCTCTTGATGTGAAGAGACACCACGAGCCTGGCAGTGGCAACTCTCATAAAGGAAAACATCAAATTGGGGTTGACTTACAGTTCAGATATTTAGTCTGTTATCAGCATGGCGAGAAGCATGGTGGCACACAGGCAGCCATGATGCTGGAGCAGTAGCTAAGAGTTCTACATCTGGATCTGTCACACTCGACCTGGCTTGAGGATCTGAGATCTTAAGCCCCACCCTCAGAAACATGCTTCTTGCAATAGTACCACACCTGCTCCATAAAGGCCATACCTCCTAATAGTTCCAGTCCCTAGGAGCCTATGGGGCCATTTTCATTCAAACAATCACACATACCAACTATGTAATAAAGTCTGACTCTTGTCTGTCATCAGGTGAGCTGTCAGGTCGTGGTTACAATGTGGAAGGGACAGCTCACGGAGAAAAGGAGCTCTTGCCTTTGCTCATACTGAGAGGATTTCTCTGTATACCAACAGCCAGGTCCATTGTGCCAAAAATCTCTGAAGTCTTAAGGTTATTGAAAGTGGTGAGGAATGATACTGGAGATCCTGAGCCTAAGTGACAATATACTAATAGCAGAGTCCTTTTTAAAAAGAAGCCCGTGTGTTCAGGAGCAGTTTGGTGCTCGCCACCTTTGGTAGACTGAAATGAAATCCATCTTGGTTGGCAACTCTTGAAAGTTTATCCAGATATGGAAAAAAGTATTAATGGCTTCAGGGATATGTACCTTGTTTTGATTATGTTGCTGGAGCTTGTTTTAAACTAGATCATAGGGAAGACTTGTTTTTCAGACTCTAAATGATCTATAATGCAATTTCAGTTACAGTTGTCTATTTGGACAGCTCCTGTGTCCTTTCCCCTTTTACTGTCCATCTGTCTATTTGCTATATGGGTCCGGAATGAAACTTGTATTAGCTGTGGTAAGAGTTCTCTAGGTAGAATGGAGTCACACAATGTATTGCAAGATGGAATAGGTCGGGGCTGGAGAGATGGCTCAGAGGTTAAGAGCATTGCCTCCTCTTCCAAAGGTCCCGAGTTCAATTCCCAGCAACCACATGGTGGCTCACAACCATCTTTAATGGGGTCTGGTGTCCTCTTCTGGCCTACAGGCATACACACAGACAGAATATTGTATACATAATAAATAAATAAATATTTTTTAAAAAAGATGGAATAGGTTGTTTTGCTTTTGGACCATATATATATATACATACATATATGTATATAAATTTCTTCAAGACAGGACTTCTCTGTGTAATAGCCTTGGTTGTTCTGGAACTCACTCTGTACACCAAGCTAGCCTCAAACTCATGGAGATCCACCATCCACCTGCCTCTGCCTCTTGTGCTGATATTAAAGGCATGCACCACTACTCCCTGACTCAGTATGTTCTTAAAAAGAAGTATAATGAGCCATAGAATAGGAATCAGATCAGATAGTAATTTGAGCTTCCAAGTGACTTGAGTTTTCTTTTTCCTGGTTTTTACTAGGAAAAATTTATCCTTATTTTCATACTGACTTGTTATTCCAGAGGAAGTTCTTGTTTTCTTTTTAAGGCAAGGTATTTATATAGCTCTGGCTGGCTTGAAATTCACTATGTAGCCAGAGACAGGGTGAATTCCTGATCCTCCCCTCCACCTCCAAGTGCTAGAACTATAAGTGTGTCCACTGTGCTCAGCTTCCCAGAGAAAGAATTTTAAGTAAGGAAAGCCAACGGCCGAGTGAGAGACAGAGGAAACCTAGTCTTCATTTTTTTGTTGGATCTCAGATTCCTCATCCCTGACAAAGAACATGGACCCCATCCCCCTTCTGCCTATTAACTCTGTTAAATCTGAACCTTACCCAAATGGAAAGCATCATAGAATTCCCGTAAGAAAGCAGGCTTTGCTGTGTATGGCAGTGTGGACAGAGTTGCCAGGCACCACCACACTCTGACCTCTTTGCTTCTCCCCTCAGTACGGATATGCTCCCAAAGGTTCATCATTGGTGTTGTACTCTGACGAGAAGTATAGGAAGTACCAGTTCTTTGTTGGTGCAGATTGGCAAGGTGGCATCTACGCATCTCCAAGCATGGCTGGCTCACGGCCTGGTGGCATCATTGCGTCCTGTTGGGCTACCTTGATGCACTTTGGTGAGAACGGCTATGTTGAAGCTACCAAACAGATCATCAAAACTGCTCGCTTCCTCAAGTCAGAGTATGTGTGGAAAACGGGGTTCTGCTTTGTCTCTTGCTTTCTCCTAGTTGGCCAAAGGCATCTCTGTACTTGGTAGCACACCCTTTGACTGCTTACCGTCTCCTGATAGAGGCGGGTTTAAACCAGCCCTTTACCAGATGGTGCTCGGGGAGGAGACACTTGCATTGCATTCTGTGCTATGACTTGGGAGTGGGGTAGACTGGAAGAAGCCAGTGGTTCTGGAGAGAGGTTAGGTCTTCTGGGATTTTGATCTCTGTAAGAATCACCTATCCCAGCCTGACCTCTGGTGTAGAAGACGAGACTATAAAGTCCCAGAGGGTAGCCTATGTTCATCAACCAAGATAAGGACCAGAGGAGTGGATATGGCTCAATTTCTTTCTCATTTGCTTATTTTTAGATTGGAAAACATCAAAGGCATCTTCATTTTGGGGGATCCTCAAGTGTCAGTTATTGCTCTGGGTTCCCATGATTTTGACATCTACCGACTATCTAATATGATGTCTGCAAAGGGGTGGAATTTCAACTACTTGCAGTTCCCCAAAAGGTATGCTTAAAGCCTCTGTTCCTCCTTTCACTTCATGACCTTAAGAGCTGAGTCATAAAGGTAATGCTATATACAGAGTTCAGTTTCTAGAACCCAGCACACTGGTAGCAACTGGAGTTCGTAGACATAAGGAACAAAATGCTTTGCTTTATGTTCAAGTAGAACTGCCAGCCTCCTGAGACAGGTTGTCACTTGTAAGGCCCTCTGTTTTTTCTCTGGCCTCTGTTGTCTGTGATCCATCTTGTCCATAGCTGTCAGCTCACTTCTCTAAGGTTTGTTTGTACTCCTGTCTACAGCCTGCCTTCCCCAGGTCACAGTCATCACTGACCACATTTTTCTCCAATTGAGTTAGGGTTTTTTTTTCCCCCTCTCTCTTGAGACAGGGTTTCTCTGTGGCTTTGGAGCCTGTCCTGGAACTAGCTCTTGTAGACCAGGCTGGCCTTGAACTCACAGAGATCTGCCTGCTTTTGCCTCCCAAGTGCTGGAATTAAAGGTGTGTGCCACCACCCGGCAGTGAGTTAGGGTTTTATAAGAGCATTGAAGCCCTTTAAGACCCAGCTCTATGGTTCTCTCCCCATCAGGGCCTACCCTCTGAGATGAAAACCTAGTACCCATCATTGCTCACACACATGATTTATGGAGCCATCACTGACAGTTTTATGGGATGGGGATAAGACAGAACAACCAGCTGTGTTCATTTTGTTAAGGCGGTTCTTAGTCATGCTTGAAAACCCTAATTTTCTCACTTAAAAAAAACCATGGATTTGAGAGCAGTAGTACTCCAGTGCATCCCTCCCCTGGGGTGGCTTTATTGTGGGGCGTCTTTCTTTTCAGAGTCTGTCCCTCTCACGCCCTCTCTTCTCCCACAGCATCCACTTCTGCATCACGTTAGTACACACTCGGAAGCGGGTGGCAATCCAGTTCCTAAAGGATATTCGGGAATCGGTCACACAAATCATGAAGAATCCTAAAGCTAAGACCACAGGAATGGTAAGGATACCAGGGCATCCCCACTTAGAAGTATTGGGGGTTGTGTGGGAACCTGAAGTGATCAGACTCTTTTGAGGCTGTTTCTGCCTCAGCTCAGAGTGCACAGCTCTCCTCAACCGTTAGTGTTGCTGCTGGTCCCACTCCTTCTTGTTGGGTATCTCAGATGGGATGGAAAGCAGAAGCTGCTGAACGGAAGCCAGGGCTCTCGTCCTGTCTGTAAAGACAACGAGCACTCCCCCGACCACAAACAGTAAACCCTAGAGTAGTTCCTTTATTTGAAAGCCAGGCTGGAAAGTACCTGTGAAAAATATCCCATGGCAGCTGCTTTTCTGATGGAAAGATAGGATGCCTGGGCTAGGAAGGGGGGCTAGGTGCATATGAATGACAGCCATACTTACGTCACTAATAATATGTCCTTGGTTGGATTTGCAGGGTGCCATCTACGGCATGGCCCAGGCAACCATTGACAGGAATCTGGTTGCAGAAATATCCTCCGTCTTCTTGGACAGCCTTTATAGTACCGACCCTGTGACTCAGGGCAGCCAGATGAATGGTTCTCCAAAGCCCCGCTGAACTTGGATCCTTGATAATTCCATGGCGCTTCAGGCCTTCAGAAGGTTCCTGGCATTTGGAACAGACCACACACAACTTGGCGTCTGGACCTGCTCCTGAGAGCACAATACGATAAACCATGAGATAGCTTCAGCCTCAGGACTCCTTTTGTTTCCTTTTGTGGCTTTTAATTTGAAGACCCTGAAGGATTCCACTGCGCAATGAGTCTGCCCTGGTTATAAATGTTAACCCTAAAAATTGTTTTAACCATATTCCCCTCTAACGTCTTTAGCATCATCTTCACTTAATCATTGTATGGTGGCTCTGACCTGTCCTGATTTCCTAGGGGAAGTGTGAGATAGCAAGAGGGTGCCTTTGCTACCTCAGTCCGATGGTTTGGCTCTCAGGCAGGAGGCCTTTATGTACTGTGTTCCCCGGTGGGTGTTTCCACGTCCCAAGCAGGAGGTTATTTCAGCCTCTGCTTCAGGAGATGTCACTTGACTCTCAGGATCACTTTCATTGCAACTCGTTTTATTTTTCCAAGCACAGGTTGGCCAGGTCATTGACCTCTTTTTTTGCATAACTGGAGCACGGCCCCTTCACAGGGTTTGAAGTGCTCCTTTGTCTTCTGTGCATGACCCTGGTTGCTACCATCAGTGGAGAAGCCTGTTGGCAGTGATACTCCCCCATGTTCCTTCTACACTGTAGGGTAGGAAAGGAAGGTGTTTTCAGAGACTCCAGGGCCTTTTGGCTGTGGTGCTGCCTATGGATAGGGGTAGGTCATACCTGAGCCCTCTCCCGGGCCCTATGAGCTGAAACCAGACCCTTTCCCGTATTTTCTTGAATAGCAGTGTAGGTAAACACCTATGCACACATGTGGGTGGGGTCTTCCCCTTCCTCATTGCCTTAATCTATCATGTCATGAGAACCTGTTTTTATTGAAGGAAATACTCCCCAAGTGTCCTTGACTTTCCTCAGTGGTGTGAAGATGTATAGGGGACCCTTTCTCTATCAGTGTGTTCTTCCTGCCTCTTTCCCCAATTCAGCTTCCAGAGGTACGATGGCATTTTAGCTTCAGGTACTGGGTGTTCCTCAGCCCCTGCTAAAAAGAAGCTGCATAGGACAAGAGAGGCATTTTGGAGTAGAAAGGCATGGCTGCAGCCATTACACCTGGGGCCTGGGATTCCTTCACAAGACTTGATACAGGGCTGGAACCAACCCCTGTGCCAGCTTCCCACTTGCTTCTCCCTTTTAGGGATGGGGCCTCTGATCTAGGCCGAGCCCCTGTCCTCCTCCGATGATCATACCGTGTGCCTTTCTCCCAAGCAGTGAGTAGTAAACTTACTCATCACCCAGGTCCTGGCAGAAATGGACCAGTCTTTGAGGTGTGTCTGTGTGTAGGACAAGTCAGCAGGAGCCTTTCTCTGTTCCCTCCCTTTCTCAGGGATTCCTGAGTATTGCTGGCTGTGAGAGAGCCAAACCACCAGGCTCTTCCTCACCTTCCTTGGGAGGTGATCCTCAGCACTGTTCTGACCCCAGACCTGTTACTAGCCGGCTCATTGCATAGTGAGTGTGTATGTCCACTTCCCTCCTGTGTGCTCTATAGTGCACTGTGGGGCTCAGGGATGCTTGATGCTCGCATGTGTCAGAAAGAGGCTGAGTTCCTGAGCACTTCCAGTGGTTAGAGCTCTGCAAGACTCATCTCTGGGTCTACAGTGCATCATGCTAGAGAGGTCCAGGGACCACCCAGCAGGCACCACTGGCTTGCCAGTGCCTAAAATGGAGAAGCAGATCCCGCATAGTCTCAGAGGACCCAGGAACTGATCTGCTCCCTTCCTTTGTGACAGTGCTGGTATGGGTGATGGTGTTTTTCAGAGGGACCTGCTGTAGCTACTTTATGATTAGGAACTTTAGTGTTACTTCAGGCTGTCATTGTGTGTGTCTTTGTGTGTGCATGCCATGCCTAGCCAGTGTCGGGGGTGGGTGGGGTGTCTAGTATCATGTGGCTTAGTAGGTGCCACAGTAGCTTTTGCAAACACCGTACTGTCTTGTTTCTGTATTAGACGTAGGTAGTACTGTGAATATACTGCCATGTCACTTTTAATATCACCAGTTTTATACTCGGAAATGGTACTTGCCTCTTTGAAAGCTGTCTCGTCTTCTCTAACCTTCCCATCATCTCCATGCCCTTTCCTGACTGCAGCAATAACTCTTAAACAGTTTAATAATTAAATATCCCAAACTGTTAATCATTGGATGGTTGCGTTCATTTTATACAGACCACAATACAGCAGTTGCTGAACCGGGAAGCAGTCCCCTATTTCGTCCCCCACACCCCAACCTTGGAGGTAAAGTTGGGACATACCTGCAGCCGTGTCCATCGTGTCTGAGTCTTCAGCAGGGAGTTCAGTTGCCTCAGGAACTGGTTATGTCTGTCCAGAGAGGTCTCTAGTCTTGGCCTTTAATTCCCGGGTGCCATGGCCCTGACCTCTTTTTCCATCCACTTATACCAGAACATACTGATGGATTAGCCATCTGGGTGGTCCCCCACCAGCTGGACAACGTGGCTCTGTCTGGCGAGTCAAAAGCCCATCATTTGGTTTTGGGGCCTATAACACTCCGGGATAATGGCACTGGGTGGTCTTGATGGTGAGCTGTGCAGACAGATCGCTCATTTCTCAACATCACCGTCTGCCTCTTCTGGCCCTGGGGAGGACCAGCTTACCTAGATTGACTAGACTGCAAGCCAGGGGTCATAGGTGAGGATTACAGTGGGGTGGGCTGCTCCACCTGCACTGGGTGGAGATGAGATTGGGCTTTGCTCCCATTCTTACCATCTTGTCACTTGGGCATTTTCTACTCTTGTGAATTGCTAGCTAGGGACCTGACCTGTGTAAACTGTCCTTAACTGCTCCAGTAGCAGATAGCCCGTTAATATACCACCTTGCTCTCCCTGTAGAGTAAACAGCAGGCAAGCCCTTTGCTAAGACTGAGAATTGCAGAAGCCGTCGAACTGGAGGTCTATCTGCTGTTGGACTCTGATGTATGCCAGTGAACTGGGAAGTGTATTGGGAATGACGAATATACACAGAAGGGGACTGGGTAAGGAGTTGGTTCCAGTGATAATGGAAGCCCAGTTGGCTAGCTAGAAGAGCAGTTCCAGTTTAGAGCTCAAGATCCATGAAGTCAGGAAAGTACTGATAATCCCAGCTCAAATAGGAGTCCAGAGTTCTATGTGAAGGATAGGCAGCCTTTTTGCTCTAGATGAGCCTTCAACTGATTGAAGGAACCTTACCTATATTAGAGCAATCTGCTTTACTAAGGACCAGTTCAAAGCTTAATGACTGTAGTAATAGGAGCGGCGGGGCTGCGTCCCCAGCACCCTGCTGCCCGCAAGGCTAGCTTTACCAGAAATAATTACATGGAAACTGTATTCATTTAAACACTACTTGGCCCTTTAGCTCTAGCCCTTACTGGCTAATTCTGATATCCCAATCAACCCATCTCTAATAATCTGTGAGCACCGGTCTTACCAGGAAGATTCTAGCCTACGTCCATCCTGGGTCGGAGCTTCATCGCATGTGTCTGCCTGGGAGCCGGGAGCAAGGTGTCTCTCTGAGGCATCTGCCCCCGAGAGGACAGCTGTCGAGTCTGAGCTCACTTCCTCTTCCTCCCAGCATTCTGTTCTGTTTTCTCCACCCACCTGTGTTCTAACCTATGAGGGCCAGCCAAGCAGTTTATTTTTTTAACCAATGACCTTCCTCCATCATTTCCCCTTTTTCCGTTTAAACAAAAACAAAGGAAGGTTTTAACTTTAACATAGCATAATTACATATAACAAAACAGTTATCAAGTAAAAATTACAATAATCTTTATCATAACTAAGGAAAACTATAACTATAACTCACTATTCTTAACTCCATCAAAGACTCCAGAAAGATACAATATTACCTAAGCAAACAAGAAAAAAGCAACTTTCAAACTCTAGAAATGACAGAGATATCTCGCTGCCTGGACAGTCATCCAAAGTTTCTCTGTACCGTTGGGGCATCCATCTTCGGCCTACAGGCCCATGGTATCCAGAGACATTTCCATGAAGCAGAATATTTCAAGTCAGTTCAGTCACTATCTGTTGTGTCCTGCAGAATGTCTCACAGACTCTTTCATGAATCAGGAACCCCGAAAGATCATCTCACCTTTAGGCAAGTTCAGTAGTCCTCTCTCTGTGGGTTCTCTGTGTCCAGTTTATGCAATAGTCCAGGCAAGAACAGTTTCTTGCCCAAATGGCTATTAAACTCCATAAGGATCCTCTTCGATGCCTATCTTCTTCTTGAAGTAGATTGGTGCTGCCAGGAGCAGAATGTCTCATTGTCATGAAAAGTCCTAAGTTATTAAAACATTTAAAATGCCATATTCTATAATCTTTGAAAAATATGAAGAATGCCTATCTAAAATACATCTATGTACATCTAGAAAATCTTAACTAACATGACTACAAACTTGACTATTATGATTATCTATTAACAATCTATATTTCTAATTATACTTTACATTTTTAAATGAACTACACAATCACAGTACCTTAATCAAGATCAGAACCACATATACATATGACAAAATTGACCTTAAATCTCTATCAATAAAGCAAAATCTATACGAATGCAAATTACTCATACCTATATCATATCCCCCTTTAAATGTAAAAGAACGTTTATAAACCATATTTGGGAACATGGGCGCAGTTTTTTCTCTCCAAACTGCTTCCTGTTGAATGGGGGCGTCGTTAATTAGGTCTTTCATGGTATAACCTGTGTGCTAGTTTCATCTCAGTTGGCAGTTGAGCGAAGCAATTTTCTGAAGGTGTTCACACCAACCCTTCAGGAGGGCGTGGTCCATCATACCAAATCGGAATAGAAGAAATGAACAGGGTTTCATCCTCTGTGAAAACAAAATAAGAAACTCCTTTCCAAAGCATCATGTCCTTAGATCCAAATTTCAAAGTCAAGGTATTTTCAAAATCTCTACGTTGGATTAGTTCAGCAGCATTTATAAACAAATATCTTTTAGCAGCTGTTGCTCTTTTCTCAGCATTCAAACAATTCAAACAGAGCATAATAGCATACAGTATCAAAATTCTCTGTGTATTTTCCATC